ATGTTTTGTTATGCATGCTATTGGTGGAGTTTCGATTGTGGTATCTAGTTGTTGTGTCTTTATATATGTTAATTAAGAAAGACTAATAAACCATGTGACATAACAATAATTTTCTAATAACTCCCATCATTTAGATTTTATCTTCTTAATTTTAACATATCTGCTACATTTATTTTTAATTCTTTAAAAGTAATGTATATAATTATAGACATCTTTTAAAGTTTTTAATGTTTTAAATAATGTCCTTAAAAGAATATATTTCTCAATAAAAATAATATTCTTACCATCCCTGAAAAATTAACAATAATTCCTCAGTAACATCATCCTAATCTAGCCCATATATAGGTTCTTCTTTTACCTTCCCAAATGGTTTTAGAAGTGGGAATTTTCAAAGTAGCATTCACATGTTCCGTAGAGTCTTTTAAGTACCTCTTAATCACAGATTACTTATATTGTAAATATCTTCCCTTTATTTTTAGTTTATAATATTTTCCTTATAGAACTAAAGGCTAATGCCTTTTGTTTTAGAAAATTTCAGAAAATTACTATCCAAAAAACATTAAAACATTGAAAACTTTCCCCTGTAACTGTCTCCCATAACTCTAATCCACTCTTTAAGGATATACATTATAATTTTTATTAAAATATTACAAAGAGAAGTATAGAGAATGATATATAATGAAACCTTTGTGCCTATTAGTTTCAGCAATCATTAACTAATTTCCTTCTTGTTTTCATCAATTTGTCTACACTTCTTTTCAACCACTATAATTAAAAAATGATGGATTACATCTTTTTTGTTACTCATTATAATGACAACCCTATAGACCACAACTGAATACACCAAGCCATACCTTGTGCCTGGTACTAGAAATTCAGTGGAGAGAAAATACACAGTTGGGAGTCACATTTTTTACTAGCTCTACACTGAGAAATGGTTGCAACTATCAATTATGAAAAGATATTTAGGGCACAGTTATGAACATTTGTACATGGTCTAGGTTTGGGATGATACTTAAAGAAACTTCTTAATCTTTATAATAGAGTTGTTAATTTCTAAGAACATACATTTAGGTTTTAGAGATGCTTCCCAAAGTATTTGATTGTGAAATATCAGGAAACCTGGGCTTGTTTTTAAAAGGGCTAAGTCCACTTGGGGAGTCCCTCCCCTCTATTTTCAGATGGATCAGACCTCTCCATTGCTATTCTATTTCTTTCAAAAGATCCTATATAGTAATTCTGATTTTTGCCTCCACAGGGAAGTCCAAAGCAAAGAAGTTAGAAGAGCTTATGGAGATGGTGGAAACACTGCAGCATGGTCATGTGTCTTCTTATGCCTGATTTAAGCCTGGGGCTTAGGGGGTGGGAACAGAGTTCAGAGCCAGCCCTCAAAAAATTCAGATATTAGAAAATTATCTAATTTTGCTTTTCATCTTATAATTTAATTATTTGAACAAAAATACCATATCATGGTACAGAATTCAAAAAATTGGATAAAATAAAAAGTGAATTGTTTCCTTAAACTCTTGGTTCCCCCATTTGCCTTCTTACAGGCAGGAAAGTAACTACTGTTTTCAGATAATTTATGTATCTTCCCTGAGATATTTTACTTGTAGACAAATATGAATATATACTTTTCTCTATTTCTACACAAAAGTGGCAGAAAACCATGTAGGACCTCTTGTGGCAGCAAAATTTAGGCAGATAGGTCACAGAACAAGCATAAGAAGCACCCTAACATACTCAGGAAACAAACTATCTCAGGGGTGGTAGTGTTGAAAATTAATATTAGTACCTCATAGAGTGATCCCTTATCCAAAGGTCAGATAACACATTTGGTGACTGTAGAATCCCAAAGGCCTGTTCTTATAACTCTGTGGA